TAGGGGCGGAGGGAGGAGAATATTGGGAGTTAGTCTCTATCCTGGATGAAGGGTGGGTGGGGGAGGAGAATATTTGGACTTAGGGCATGCTCACACATGCCTGGCAAAACAGCAAAATTTGCCGCGTCTGCTACTCCCAGTTTGCCATTTTGCTGTGTTGCGCAGTCGCACATGGGCAGCAAATTGGAAAAGACAAATGCCCCTACGCCCTGCCATTTGAGAAATTGCCCATTTGTGCCGTTACACTGCAAAAGTAGTCCATGAATGCCTGCAATTCTCTTCCATAAGCTCAAAGACTCGGGAAGAAAGAGATGCCACCACCCCTAGAGGTGGTGGCAAATTGCTCAAACCCGAGGCCTATAGAGGTGGTGGCAAATTGCTCAACCCTGAGGCCGCTGACATTTGCGACACCAATTGCAAATTTGATATGCGTTTATTGGGGACTACCGGCCGCACGCCGGTGGGTACCCCGCGCAACGCGGCGCGTTAATGGCCGCGTCGAATTCTTCAAGCAGGGAGAGGTACTGGTGGTTGAAATGTATCTGCCCGCATTTATAGCCGGTCCTGTTTGCATCTGATCGCAATTCTGTCCAGAAATAAGTAAAAAGGTGCTGTGAGTATGCCCTTAGAGTCTGTCCTGGATGAACGGTGGGTGGGGTGTTTCAGGCGGAGGAGATGAGGGGAGTGGAGGTGACATAATCGGGTAGGTGCAGTCATGGCTGATGTATGACCGGAAGCTGGCAACCTGACTCCATCAGGTCCCAGCCATCCGAGCCTGTTCTTTGGTAAGTGGCTGTGCAGGTTCCTCCTGCAGGCAGCAGAGCTCGTCCCTAGGGGTTGTCGTGATAGCCTGCGAGTTGTCACCTGCTAGGGGTGTGTGGAAATAATGCACTGGTCTCAATTTCATGGCTACCCAGTTTTTCCACCGCATGTTCCCATCATCCTGCACTTCACATATTCCCCTCCCACAGTCTATCCATGTGTTACAGAAGTTTTCGTTTGGCTTGCTCCTGCATGTCCTGTAAGTTTGTTCTGAGCTGAACCGAACCACAGCTCTTTGTATGTTGGCCCTGCTTGTCTCAGCGATATCCGTTTTGGCCTGTACAAATCCAAAAGAGAGTTCTTTTCTCTCTGAAGAGCAGCACATCCTCCAGATGGCCATCAGTACGGCCAGCCTGGTTGTTTGAAACAGGTTATGCTGGAAACCTGACCATGGTGGTGGTTAGTCTGACAGTTTGACCAACCAGATGAGCTTTCAATGAAAAATGGTGAGCTGGTGAGTTCCTCCCATAGAACATCCCACCAGTGCCACAGTTGAAGGGCCATTGGACAGGCCAGCAAGCAGTGTTTCAATGTGGCCAAGCATTACCTGCTGGAAACCGGGTCCAGCATCCCAGATTCATCTTACATTTTTCTTCTCAACCACGTGTATGTCTCTATGTTCCCCTTAAGGTCTACGGCATCAATTACACTGCTTCTGCCAGGGGATCAACTGAGGGTCTAGTGCTCAGCCTCTTCAGCCTGTCTCTGGCTGCCAGAGTGAAAGAACCATCTCTGCCTGCACTCTCATGAAGTAGGATCTTGAATGCCTCCAGAGTCCATACCACTGCATATCCACTAACAGAGTTGGTGTGGTGGGAAGAGATCTGGGAAGTCCTTGGTTGGGCTGCTAGTGATTGCTGCTCTTACCATCATCACTAGCAGCCAAGGCCTAGTTAAAAAAAAAAGAAAAAGACAGCTGCATCCACCATTGTCCAGTCATTGAAGGCTATTTTGTACACCCTCTTCAGTGTCTCTGCGTCTGTTTGCCTCCCGCCCTCCCATTGAATGTTTGCAATCCTGCCACCTTGTTCACCACCCAGCCATTCCTCTGAGAAAGTTTTTATTGCTTGGTTTATGACATTATGCCTTTTCTTTCCTGATAAAGATGGAATTTTGCTTTTGTTTCCAGGCATGGTTCTGTTAACTGGATCTGCTGTTTAACTGTGTCTGTGATTTCCTCGCCTTCCGTGCATACTCCCCGTCCATTATGTGTGTGCGTCTCTTCTGCCAAAGGGCCCAGAGGAAGGCTCCTCTCCCTTTTTTTCTTTTTTTTTTGTTTATATTGTTGAGTTTACTAGTGGGAGTGAGATGAGCATCTCCCTCTCATAGCCCCCATGCTGGTTGCTCCTGTCTATTGGTGGGAAGCGTCACCTGCTGGAAACTGGGCACGGCATCTAAGATACATACTTAAGCATCCTTTGTACATATTTTATTATTTTCCTCAAAATTTCTGTCCTGTGGAGAGCACCATGTCCCACAAAGTAATGCTTTCCAGTTCCATGGCCAAGTGGATTCTCTTCCTAGCTGGCGCGATATCCTTTCCCACGATCGCCGTGTGAGGACTGCTCCGGGGCACTGCGAAAATAAGTGTTTTATTGTCTCTTGGAGACTGTGGGACGGGAAGTTTTTCTGACATGACCAGCATCACGGGAGTGTCACGCCTTTCTGTTCCAGCCTCGTCCAGTCAATTATCCCGTCATTGGTGGGTATGCGCATCTGGGTCTCATCACAACACTGACAAAAACACTTAAGTTTTCTTGAGGTGGCAGAGAATTCCCAGAGTGCTCTCGGGAGATTTCCGCCCTTGCCACACAATCCTCATGAACAGATCACTCTGGAAAGTTGTCCATGAAAGGGAGAGACGAGCCCAGAGGAAAGGGAAAACCCTTGTCCGTCCCAACCTCAGGTGAACTCTCAAAAACAGGATGATTGGAGGGCTGCTGAAACAAAACGGAGATGTTGCAGAGATGTTGCAGGCTGGAGCAGCATAGGGTTTCAAGAGCGATGAAGCGTGGATTCTGAGATCACACTAAATTTGTTTTTGGCCGAGTTTCGTGAGGCTGTGTACGTAAATGTCATGGAAACACTAGTTTCGTGAGTGGTATGGTGAGTCCAGTTGTCCATGGGATGTGCTCGTGCTTGTATCAAAATTTGTATTCCCACGCACCCACACTGAGGCTGAATGAGATGCATGACTGAGCTCAAGTACTGATAGAATCAGACTAGTACAATATTTGTAAGGGCTACTGAATTAATAAGTGAAAAATAATAAATAAAAATTAAGAGTAAATGAGTGGATAATGCCCCTTGCTGTTTGTTGGAGTTGCTGATGTGATGGGATGTACTGAGGGTGAACGGATGTGTGTGTGTGTGCTGATGATGGATTTTATTTCTTTAATGATGGGCGTTTTGATTGCAGCAACTTCGTCATATATGAGTGTCATCGATGCCGCGGCTGCATACCTGGCGGATGATGGGCTTGTAGGAGTGGCAGATTTCTTCACGTCAGCTCGCCATGACAATCCCAATCGCCAGCATTCTGCCATCAAGCGGTGGTTCTGGAGACTGGTCTTCGAACGGGCTAACATGGACCTTTCACATCAGAGGAGATCCTATCTAGATTATGTGTTTGAGCCAGGTAGGCGGTTTTTAGTTGTTTGATTGTTTACTCTTTTCTGGAGTTTTTTTCTCTTTCATGGGGAAAGTGTCTTCTTTTTTTTGTTTTTGTTTTGGTTGTGGTTGTTGGGGTAACGGATGGGGGGAAGGAGGAACTGATGTTGCTGCTCCTTGTATTGTGTGTGGGTACTGTGGTTCATCTGACATGGCCGCTCCTTGTATTCTGTGTAGGCACTGTAGCGCCAGTTCAGTTTCTGGCAGGCGAAGAAAAAAAAAATAGTCCAACAATTGGGCACGCTCCACCACTCTCGATTCAATGCTAGAATTGAGAAGTGGTCGATAGTTGTCAGAGGCCGGAGCACTGCGGAAACCACGTCATTGCTCGGTCCACTCTAGAACCACTTTTGATTTTCCAAGAGTGCGAAAGGACAAAGCGAAAAGGGTGACTAGGCAACAAAGAAAGGCAACTGTCGGTCCCAAGTCGAGGCAGTGAAATTCCTGTGCCAGCCAAGAGGTGGCCGACCTCACCTTGATTTAACAGCTTTGCAGGCTGAGACTATCGGTTTTTGAACATTTTCAAATGATTGTTCTCTTTTTTTTTTCTCAATTCATCCTCACACTAACTACCCATCCAACGGGGACCAATATCAGCCAGCAGTCCAGGAACCAGGCGCGGCCAGCTATTCAAATCTATGCAGTACAACACATCAAGCTATGGGTTATGGGTTTAAGTCTCCCTAGTCTACCCCAGCCTATCTATCCCACTATGGAGCATAGGGAATCCTACTCATCTACTCTACTCAGTGCGGGGAGTAGTACCCAAGCTCCTAACCCCTAGCAAGGGATGGAAGGAGTGCACATCCCCTTACCAAGACCAGCCAGGGAGGGTGAGCCAACTATCTCTGCTGGTGAACCCGAAGTGTGCCACAGGGGGTCGTGGGGAGTTGAAATGGATGACGTGGGGAATCGAATTAGACCTCCTGAATGCCACTTACGGGCTCTACCAACTCAGCTAGCCCGCGGGCCTTGATTCCTTTTTTTTTTTTCCTTCTTGGGGAAAAAAAAAAACACAGAGCCTTATACTCTTGCTTCCTCTTTCCTGACACTCTCACTGCTTTTTTTCCTTCTGACATTCAAATCTGATAGAGTGTGGAACAATGCAGTCACTCTCGGAAACCGTGAGAGTGGTGGATGGAGCCCCAATATCATTCACACTTCTTCCCATTATGACTGGCAGAAAGCACTGCATAGGGGCGAAGTCCCACTAGTAGCAGCGGCGTCGAGTACCAACCATAGGCTGCTTTGGGCCATTCTACCTGAAAATCTCTTGGCCCATGGCGATACTTCAGCCACACCAAAAAAACTTATCTCGTAGGCACTCGATACAGCTCCTACTGGGCCTGGCTCCAGGGGCATTGTTCCACTATCAGTAGAATAGATTCAGATGTCATTCAATTGATTATCAGCCATGCGGATCTGTCATCTTGATGGTTGACAATCAATTGGCTCATCTTGCTGGTAGTAATGGCCCCAGTACTTCACCGGGTAGAGTTGTGAGGGCCCGCTCGTTTTCTAACTGTTTAGTATAAAAGTAAGTTGTCTTTAAACCACCAGTGCATTTCCCGGCCATTTTTCTCCCATGCGGCTGCATGCACGCCGCAACTTTCGGGGGTTGGCTGCTGGAGCAAATTGGCTAGCGGCGCCAGCCAAAGGGGACTCAAGCCGGTGGTTTTTGTTTTGGCCTCAGGGCATTTACAGCTTTGGGGAAAAGAGGTTCGGAAGTACTGGTGGTTTAAAAAGAATCTTGTTGGCAGTGGGATTGCACCCCCAGGAAGGATAGCTAACCCTCACTCAGGGCAGAGTCAGACAAGGTCGACAATGCCAATGATATTGGTGTAAGATACAGCCACGACTATGCCCTTTAGGGCCCGGCCCTGCTGAGCTATGCCTGTGTATAAGTTTTCTGATAAGATGCCTGCTGTCAGCTGTTGGTTCTCACCATCTGATATTTACCATCAGATTTGCCCACGAAGCCCCAGTCCCATGGGACTTGACCTCTCACATTGTCACTACCGGGGCACAGGTCCCATTAGCAGGAGTTTTCAAGCACACATGGCACCCTCCAATACAGTCACTGTCTGATGGCCATCCTGCTGCCCTCATCCCATGCCAGAAGATCCTCTGAAGCTACTCGATCCCCCGCAACTTTCTTTCCCCAAACACACTGCCGGAGCATCATGACTGTATTTGGATCCGAATATGGTTTATGATGATGGCTGTCATGTTCGGGGGATCCCCAAAAAGGCCCAAACATGAATTCCACCTCAAGTTACAGGTAATACACCTGGTAAAGAAACCCAATCTTGGGTACAGTAAACACTGCGACTTCACACATCAAGTCGTGAAAAAAGTGTACTCGGCTAGTGAGTTTTTATCTCTTAAGCGGCATCAGCCGCCGGGTGATGTATAAATGGATATAACTTTTTCTTAAAAATACAGTTATTTATTTCTTATTTTATAAATCACTAATCACTTCTCATACTAACTTTTCCCCATGGTGGTGAGTGAACCATCGGGATTGGGGGCAGGCTGTTGGATGACTCCATCTATTCATGGGGAGCAGCACATGCTGGAAACCGGGCCCAGTGTCTCACAGTTGTACAGTAGCAGGCCCAAAGTTAATAACTTCAAGCAGAAGATCTTACCCCGGCCTGTGATTCCATCCCATTGACACCCTTGGACCAGACAGATGGTAGTGTGACAGACAAACCTTACGTAGTGACCGTTTCTCTGTACTCAGTGAAACACTTTGGCCAGACTTTCAAAAAGGCAATTACTTTGTGACATGCATGTTCCGAGGCCATTCCTTTAGGTAACGGCTGTGGCTCTGAAAGAGTCTGAATTATAGAAAAATCAAAAGAGTTGCTCCACTGTGTCGCGCGTGGCTTGGGTGGAGTGGTGATCTCCTATGGCAGGGCAAGGAAGGGTGGCATGCATGGATGGGGCCGCTGCTGGAAAGGTGATACCTAAGGCTCAGCTGAATTGGGTGAAGCTCACACTGAGGCATTAGGAAATGTCTCCGTCCCCATGTTTGCTTCCTCCGTTCCAGCTTCACTCTCCCTGATTGTGCAAAGGGAGTAGGTGAGTCCCATCACTTTGTCGTTGTGGGATTAGACGGGCAAGCTTTCGGAATCCTGCAGGTAGTGGTATAACGAGATGTTGTCAGAAGCTGTGCACGGCTTTGGAGCGTTTTGCAGAGATCTTGGGAGTGATTGTCTCTGTGTTCAATTGCTGCTGCGTGGAGTATTTAGAAGTTAGATTAGTGGCAGGGCATTGGCGGAGGAACTGATTAATTTTAATAATTTAATAATTTCTTCATCCTTGTTTTCACCCTTTGAGTTACAAGTTACAACCCTGCCCTTGACAAATATGCGGGCAAGATAGTAGTCCTCCAAATGCATATTGCAGCAAAGAGGATAACTCTCCAGGCTATTTCAGTGATAGCAGGCTATAGCTGATGGCCGAAGGGTTAACAGGTCAAGCTTTTTTTTGAGAACAGACATCCTGGCGTCCGGCTAATGTCTACAAAACAGGCTCTTGGCCGTGGCAATTCAGAAGAATAGATGTACTATCTCAATCTCTCTCAGACACCACTTTTTCTTTTTTTTTTCCAAAAAGAACTCATTGATTACTCATTAAAAGACACCACTTTCAGACACTCTCAGACACGTTCAGATTTTCTCTTGTATCATGTACCATATTCCAAAAAGAACTCGTTGATTACTCATTAAAAGACACCACTTTCAGACACGCTCAGACACGTTTAGATTTTCTCTTGTATCATGTACCATATGGGACGTGGACCCGTTTTCCAGCAGGAGCCACTCCTCACCAATAGCTTGGTAAAATAGGCCGCTGGACTGTTTTCCAGCTTGGTGGATGTCGTTTTCCTTAAACCACTAGTACATTTCACAGCAATTTTTCTCTGAGGCGGCTGCATCCATGTCGCATCTGGCGCGACGCACCGGCCTGCCACTTTGCTTGAATGTTTTCCAAGACAAACCTCCAGGAAAAACGAGTCGCACTCGGTGTTCTTAGCAAAATGTTCGGCCAGTGCATACCGCCCGGCGCAGCAAGCATGCAGCAGCGTTGGAGAAAAATGGCTGGGAAACATACTGGTTGTTTAAGCCAAAGCCAGGTATGGGCCCTGATCATCTTTTTTTTGTTTTTCCCCTCAATGTCACCGTGCAGCTCGTCTGTCCTGGTGATGGTGAGAGAGATCTTTGTATTCCCAATTCATCATCGAAGCCTTGGGCACTAGGCCTGTTTTTGCCAACAACAACAAAAAGAAAAAAACATGGAGATCCCTACCCAATTTTTTAAGGCAATATAGAGAAATCGTAAAAACAATGAAGGCAATATAGAGGAATCGTAAAAACAATGTAATTCGGAGTTTACCTATCACAAAACAAATTACATTGTAGGCTTTTTGTAGCATGGTGTTCCACACGCCTCAACAGCCTTCTACCCCGTTTCGCACAGACTGCTGCCGAGTACTCCCTCGGCTCCTCTTTAAGCACTAGTGAAGAACTCACTACCATGGGTAACCCCGCGTAAACGTTTGCAAAAAACAAATCCTTTTATCTTCAGAGTCCAGACCTGCGCACCATGCAGATCTGCATAGGCCCTCTGGTAACTAAGAGAAAATAAAATTATGAAGGTTACGCTGAAAAGATCACTGTGCGATCAAAAACATTTTTTTGGTCCCATCGGATAGCCGCCCTGTATTTCAAGTCCAGATATCTGTCGAGACTCTTGAGGTACTTTCATGTGGTCGTTACCGCCATGGCGTACGTCATCAATCGCTACGTGCCGAAGGCTCAGATTACATGGCCGATATCAAATCCTGTGTTTTTGCACTGAATCTTCCGTTCTCTGCAGGTAGTATCAGCAGTTTTCCTCGGTCTCTTCTTGTACTGCTGTACGCCGTCCCTGTGGTGTACCCCATACAGTCGTACCAGG